GAATGGCTGGAGGCTGGCTTTAAGCTCAGGTACCTGTGCTTGAGATGTGTACAGACTCAAAAAAGCTCCTCTTAAAGCCCTTTGTGTGTTTGTCTACCCTCTAGCTACCTAAGGAGCAGCATGTGAGAATCCCAAACCAAGACATATCATACCCTCTTTTTTTTTTAGTCTCCCCCAGGTAAGGTGGAAGCTGCGGTGATGGCTGCCATTGATGCTGGGTACCGCCACTTTGACTGTGCTTATGTGTACCAGAATGAGAAGGAAGTCGGGGAGGGGATTCAGCAGAAAATCAAGGAAGGTGTTGTGAAACGAGAGGACCTCTTCGTTGTCAGTAAGGTATGGATCTGGCAGTTTTGGATTATGAACAGATTGGCTTTACCTGTGATACTTTTACAGCAGGAAGCTAAAGTAGTTTTATGCTGTAGCATTGGAGAAGCTTCTAATGTAAATGAGATCGCTCCAGATACTACACTCTTGTTTTACTTCATTAGCACAGTGATAGAGTTTTTCTTTCCTGTCCACTGACAGTAATTTTTATTGTTGTAGCCATTGGATACAAAGAATGAGTTCCTTGAGCTTTGAGCAGGGAGAAGAATCAGCTTTATCCTAACTGTCTGGTGGCAGCTTTCTTCCCCAGTCAATCTGATAACACTGAAGGAAGTCAAGACTCTGATTCCCCACCCCCAAAAATCTACAAAAAGCTTGCGCACCACAGGCCTGCTGTGGTCTGGCACTCTGCTGAGGAGACCCAAAAGTGATGGGGGATGGATGAGGAGGAACCTGGCCCTGTGTCTCATACCTGCAGACCAACTGGTGCGGAAGAAGGGAAGCAGGAAAAGGCAGAGTGGGCCAGGTAGCACCAAGCAAGGTAGAAACCAGTGATACAGAGATCTGAGGCCACTTGGTGTGAAGGACTGATAGAGAGGCAGAACCAGTTTGGTCACGGCACCTCACTGACTGCTAAAGCACAGCAGAGAGAAAACCCCAGCAGTGCCTGGTGCTTGTCCCGGCAGCAGGCTCGCAGTCCTGCCAAAGGGTGTCTCTGCTGTGTGAGGAAGATGAGGTTCTGGCACCTTGGGACAGTGTAATCTGCTCAGCACAGGTCCCAAGGAAGGTGTCGCTGGTGGGTTCGCTTTTGCTTACTAAGGAAAACAGGTTATTTAGCTGTACTCTGAAGTTGCCTCTTACCTTGGTAAAGGTTGGTGCTAACCATATCTTTGTGGCTTGTCCTATATTTTCTTGGCTTTGCCTGCTACATTCAATGCAGGAGTTTTATGTGTGGTGAGGAATGACAGATATGTGTCTTCACTTAAAAGCCACTCATGCAAAAGCTAACTCTGTAAAAGGAGGTAGCACAAATTATGGCTCTAATGGAACTAGAGGACTTTGTTATGATCCTGCTCAAACACCTGTGCTGCCACTGCACATGCTGCCTTCAGTGTCACAGGCCAGTCCTATCACAGAGCAAGCCTCATCTGAAGAGCACTAGGTTGGCCTCATTCCACATCACCTTCCAAAGGAGACAGGTACTCTCCTCTCAAGAACAGGACAAAAGGGTTCCAAGAGCTTTAACCCAGGAGATCATGGTGTGCCTTGGTTGTTTTTTTTCTCTAGCTATGGTGTACATTTCATGACAAACCTCTGGTGAAGGGAGCCTGCCAGAAGACTCTTGCTGACCTGAAACTGGATTACCTGGATCTTTACCTCATGCACTGGCCTTTTGGTTTCAAGGTACAGTAGCGGCAGTGCCCTTGGTGTTGTTTCTTGTGACTACTGCTCTTGGGGAGCTATATGGATTTACAGCCCAACAATTGCTTTGGTTGAGAAAGACAATCATGTCTGTTGTGCGTACTAGCACTTCTCTGGTGCTCAGCTTTACTCTGGCCACGTGAGCCAGGCTCTTGATCTCTGCCCCTGAGACTGTTGCTTGCATACTCCTTTGATTCTGAGAATGATGGTCTGAAAACTAGGAGCAGGTCTCCCAGCTGCAAGCCTAGGATAGGCTGCTCTCCCTTTCTCTTATGAATCAGTGTATGCTCATCTCAAAATTACCCCTTGCAGGAAGGAGGGCTGCACTTTGCCGCCAGTCAAAAATTCTCTCTGTGTTACAGAATCAGAGCAAGAGAAAATATTTCTGTTTTCCATTTCTCTCTTTAATCACCAAGTCCTTAATACAGTACAGATTGAGCTGAACTTGCCTGTAGGAGCCTTAATGTTGTTCCACTGAGACAAGAGTTCAAAAGGGTAAACTTCTTGGAGGCCTAAACTCTTTCACAGATTAGTGAAGGAGTTGATGTCTCATTTTACTATTTCTAGTCTTAGCCTTTCTGTCCTGCTACAGTTGGATCAGTCTCCATCCTACCAGTTGCTTTTGAGATGCTCATCTTTATTTCATACTCTGGTTTAGCTTTATGTTAACGAAGATGTGAAAATGAAACTGTCTCATGGTGACAGTAGCAAACAGCTGTTAAATGCAGTTCAGTCTTAGTGTCTTTTCATAACTTATACACAAAGAATCTTCAAATTTTCCTAGTATTAGTGCCTTTACACTGAGCTTTGTCACAGAAGAACTGTCACTGCACATAACTCTTTTCAGCAGATCTGGTGTTGTGCAGACCAAAGCTACATGTTCCCAGTACCTAACTAGGTCCCCTGATGCCCTTCTGGAAAAAGAATAAAATGGTTCTTCCTAAGTGGGCACAAAAGAACAATACATGAAGTGAACATGCGTGAGACTGGAGGCTATAGTTCTGAGTGGTTTGTTTCCCTGTAGGTGTTTGGATGAGTCATCATTTTGAGGGGTCCAGCAGAAAAAAACCTGTCTTTACAGGAATGGTCACTGGCAAAAATGCCTTAAATTACTCCTGCTCCTCAGCAAGGAATGACTGAATGTAGACAAGAATTAGTGTTCTTGCCTGCACTATAAGTTTAAACTATTGTGGTTGGGAGCTCTCATAGTATTAAGCAAACTTCTCAATGAATTTTCAAGCATTTTCTTTGTCATTTACAGGCAGGAGAGGAGCTGTTTCCCACAGATGACAAAGGCATGTCAATACCCAGCAACACTGATATTCTACAGACATGGGAGGTAAGTTCAGCCACAGCAGAGAAGACATGTCTTCTGTCCTTAGCAGTGGTGCTAGCTGCAGCAGTCACAGAATGGCTCATGTGTCTATGCAGAATTAGTTGGAAAGAATTCACAAAAGTATGTGGTAGCTTTTAAAAATGTGCTGCTTAGTCAAGCTATTATTCCTATTCACTTTAAGTCACTGAGCTGCATAGTCACTTTCAGTGGAGCTGCAGACGAGACTGAGGTTAGAAAAAGTTATTTACTTGGCCATAACTGTATGATTCTTCTTCACCACAGATCTCATGCAGTTCTTGAACTGCTCAAACAGATTTTGCAGAAACAGACACTTAGATTGTGATCCTGCCATCCTCCTAGGGCATAGCCCTCCAGTGCTGTGACAATAGAGTTAGGCTTCTTTTCCTCGTGTAATTCAATGAATTTCAGTCTCAACAATGATTTTTTGGGCTTTGGTGTGATAGAAGACATGGCACAGATACTGCCAGTACCCACTTTTCCCCTTGAGAATCAAAAACCTGGCAAGTCCAAACAGTTATTTTGTGCTTCCCATCAAGAGAAACAAGCCACATCAGGAAAAATGTATTCAGGTCATGTCTTGTATGCTGGATGCTAACTTTGCTCCACTTTATGTTAGGCCATGGAAGAGCTGGTGGATGCTGGTCTGGTAAAAGCCATTGGAATTTCCGACTTTAACCGTGAGCAGACTGAAAGAATCTTGAACAAGCCGGGACTGAAGTACAAGCCTGCAAATAACCAGGTAAGCTGCTAAGTGACTGCAGGTGAATAGTTTTCAGGGATTATAAAGATCTGACTACAGTTGAATGAGGAGATGGAGAAAGGGAGGAAAAGTAGACAGAAGATGGACTCTAAATCCTGCTCTGTGGATATTTCTTGGTACAAAAAGGACCAGAATACTTCCTTTTTGTCTCATCTTGTTGAACTACTTTTTACAAATTTTGGAGTATTTTGCTATGAAGCATTCGCTCTCGAGGGATAAAGAATCCAGACATGAGCTATCATTCTGACTCTAATCAGTAACTTCCACAAAGCCCCTCAGAGCATAATCCAAAAAGCACATAAGGACTCTAATATTAAAGGTGATGCCCTGTAGCATTATAGTCTTGTATTGTCACACAGACCACGTGCAGGGTAGGATGAAGGCTGCCTGTAATCAGGAAATCAGGACTCAGGAAAAAAAATCTCTGGAGCATGGGAACACTACAGTAGTTCTACAACTGTCAGTCTCTGCTCCTGTGTTGGCAGATCGAGTGTCATCCATACCTTTCCCAGGAGAAGCTTATCAACTATTGCCAATCCAAAGGGATCACTGTGACAGCATACTGTCCCCTTGGACGCCCTGACAGGTAATTTCCAAGTGGGTTACTGTGGTTTAAGTTTGAAATATTCAGAATAATTGAATGAGTAATGGTGCAGGTGTGTGTGTATATATATATTTTTATTACTTATGCTATGTAGAATCTTTCTGGAGTGATTCTTTGCCTTTTTTTTTTTTTCCTCTGTGTAGGGCTATGTCAGGGAATCCTTCTCTTCTGGATGACCCCAAGATCAAAGAGATTGCAGCCAAGCACAACAAAACCCCAGCACAGGTAGGTAGATGCCAGACAGTGGGGTACTCCTTCCTGTAGCACAGCCATTAAGGAAACTGTCTGAAAAGAGGGTACAGCCTCTATCAATGTTTCCTGTGAATTGTGGTGCTCCTTTGTGGAAGCAATGCAGGTTGCCTACTCTGTGGCCTACAATATATGTTACTACTGTCTCTTTGGCCCTTGGCCAGGAAAATATTTTTGACCCATCTTCAGATGTCACTTCCCCTCTCAAGTTCTCTTGCAGAGAATGAAAGCCTTGCATAGACTGCTAAAAGCCTAGGTGGGAAGAAAAGGAATTGACTGTCCCAAAACTGGATGGGAGAGGAGGCCTTCCATGTGGGCCACCACCACTTCCCTCTTTGCTCTTCAGGAAGTGCTACCTAGGCCATAGGGACAGGAATGGTTTGAAACATAGCTCTGCAGAAGCAGGTATAGCTTAGGGAAAACAGCTGTTGGAAGAGGCTCTGCTTCCTCCAGAGCAGTAGCCATCCTCTCTCTGACGCAGCTGTCTGTTCTTGCAGGTTCTCCTTCGCTTCCAGATCCAGAGAAACGTGATTGCGATTCCCAAGTCTGTCACACCACAGCGCATTGTGGAGAACTCCAAGGTGAGTGATTGAGTGACCTGGGTGCTGCCCTTCAGGGACGGCATGGCTTCCCCTTGCAGAGCAAGCAGTGACCCTTTCTCTCCCTTCCCAAGTCCTCCTCAGACAAGACTGGGCTTTTTCTGTCTGGAAGCTAGGGCTACAATGAAAACTACAGCTGGAGAAAAGATAGACAGCTCTTGAAAACAGTATGCTGATATCAGTCACCTTACATAGTGTCTCTTGTTCTGTGACTTGTGGATGAAGTGCTGGGCAGGGCTTGCTTGGAGCCCAAGTGCAGTAACATACCTCAAAATACAGAGTAAGCAACACTAAGGGAAGAGTCCTGGTGTCAATAAACCACATTGCTCCTTTGACTGTTAAGTTTTTTCCCTGATATTGGACATCAAGATTTCAGAAGTAATATAGCTGGGTTTACGGAAATATGAAAGTCTTCCAGATATTTCTTTGCAATTGCAGAGAAATGCATCTTCCACAAATAGAGGCATTCTGCAACACTAAGTTGCTCACCAAATATCTTGGAACAGCTGGCACATGTAACTGCAACTGGCAGTCTTTTGTTTGTTTCTTCCCTCTGCCAGTAGAGTCTCAAAAATGCAAAGATACTACTTTTTCCTTTCCCTGTCTCATGAAGCCATTTCTAACCACCACCCTTTCTGATGTGAACTTGTTCTTTAATCTTGTGAATCTTGCTTCTGATTTGATTCGTTCAGAGAGGTGATTCCCAGCTGTTCCTCTTTAGGTGTTTGACTTTGAATTGACTAAAGAGGAGATGGCAACTCTTCTCAGCTTAAACAGAAACTGGAGGATCTGTGAAATGATCATGTAAGTGACAGCTTGTTTTTTCTGATCTCATAGGTACTGGTATAGCTGGGTATATTTTGAAATCTGAAATAATTTGGGGGATGAAGCATCTGTTCTTTAACATCTTAGTGGAGTTAAATTTTCACTTTATTGACTAAAGGATAAGCATAAGTCATACTATGTATTCATTGTGAATCCTTTCTCCAGGAAACTTTGTGTGCCTGGAATGCCAAATGGTAGGTTCTAGTTGATGACTATGTCCGTATTGACGAAATGAGCATTAGGCAGTTTTAAACTTATGGTAACTTTTTTCTGTCAGTTATAAACTGATGTCAGCTCTTACACAGGTGGTTGGGGGAGGGAATGACCATCTGACGTGCAGTATGAAGAATGACTGGTTGCAGATGTGCACCTTGGAAGCCTATAGCAAGACAAGAAGTCTTGGCTGAAAGGCCACAGAAACTGCTGTTCTCTATGTAAGCAGTGTGAACTTTATCTAGAAAGTAACTTGGTCCTACCACTGTTCAGTGCCTGAAATTTAGGAAAAGACTTGAACTTGTTGGTGATGTATGCCATTTCTATACTAATGAGTCTCTTAAATTCATCCTGCAACTACACAGTTCAGAGCCTCCCATGAAGGCTCTTCTGTATAACCAGTGTATAGCATTTATTTCAGCCTTTAGAGTAATCTTTCCTCCTTGATTTCCTCCAGGTGCAAAAATCACAAGGAATACCCTTTCAATGCAGAATACTGAAGATAGTTTTATCCTAACCTCCTGCAGGCCTCTGGGGTCTAAGCTTCTACTGTTCCCTGGAGTTATCTACTATGTAGCTTGCACACTCTCTCTCCTGCCAGCAAGGCATAGTATATGTATTCAGTGACTTTGGGTTTTTCTTCTTTGGTAGAAGGAAATGGTGAAATTGTTCTGAAGAACAAGTTATGGGCTATAATAAGTATCTAATCATTAGATGAGTGTCTCTCACTGGAATAGCGAAGCAGAAAACATGAATGAACTAGCAACTGATTTTTTTTTTTCATCTTCTGTCTTGCATTGGCACCACTTAAGGTTGCAGGGTAAGGATATGTGAGCGCAGGAGACAGATCCATCCTGAAAGAATGAACTATATTATCACTGCCTGAAGATAAAAGACAACAATTTACTTTTAGAGCACAGCCCAAAGCTTTCTGGGAAAGAAGAATAAATGGGAGAAATGTCCAGACCTACAGATGCAGCCTTATTTCAGTCACATTCTCTTACAGGCTGAAAGTGGACAGCGATTAGTGTTCAGTTTTAGTCTTATCCAAGATAAAAAAGCTTAGATTACTGCTGGTTTGGAAGTTCTGTTCTAATGTGAAAAACTGACAAACCAAGCCACTTGCATCAACACTGTCATTGGAAACAATCATCCATATTCAATTTCAAATGATGTCACAGGAGTATCAAAAGTTGAATAACTTGGTATAATAAGGTTTGGTTGACAGAGCAATGCTGACAAGAACAGTTGAGTATGACAAGCCTGAGTATGGACTGTGGATAAATGAGCAACAGGAGACCAACACCTGAAACTGCTGGAAAGCTGTGCGGTGGTATTGCTGTGGACTGATTTGGTTGGTAGGCTGTGCTGACATCCGGCTATTAAAAACCTGGAGTAATAAAGACTGGAGGGAGAGGGGAGACTGTTAAGCAGGTGTCTGATACTGCACAGAAGCAGAGGGTGCAAGGTGGAACTATTAAGTGTTAATACTGAGCTGCTGCCCAGAGCCTGACACAGGAGCAAGTGTTATGTTCCTTCCAGGCTATGCTGTGCTGACTCACTGGCATGGTAACTGGGACAGGTCTCTGTAAACTGTAATTGCATGTACGAGTAAAGCTTTCCCCTGACAAAGCCTATCCCTCATGGTGGAGGATGCATGAGAGCCTTGCTGGGCAGTGCTAGGATAGCTAGGAGGTGTTTCAACAGCATGGCAGTTCAGGGGTCTGTAAGTGGGCTGGTAGACACAGGGTATCTGCAGTACAACTGCTGCATTCTGATCTGTAACATTTACACTGGATCAAGCTCTAGGGTCTGACAAAAGAATATGAGGTTTCAGTTGTATCTTGAGCAACTGAGTGGTCCAGAAACTTCCAGGAGAACAAGCTGATTAACAAAAAACTGCTTTTGTAAACATTCATAGTATTAGGACCCAATGCTTATGCCATATTAATGTCTGTTGTAATTATGTGTGCAACAAGTGAATACACTTAGACAAGCTTGAGCTACTTGCATTGTACATCATTGGTGTGTGAGTATGACTGCACGTATGAAAGATGTTGGCAAATGACAGAAAGGCTGAGAAGTCAAATGTCACAGGAGCATCAAGATCTTGCCTTGATCAGGAGTAGAATAACTGGATATAACGAACCATGGCTGACTAGCCAGCGCAAACAAGAATTGTGTGAGAAGTCTTGGTACTTATGGATGTGAAAGTGAGCAGACTGAAAGAATCCTGAACAAACCAGGACTGAGGTACAAGCCTGCAAATCGCCAGGTAAGCTGCAAAGTGACTGCAGGTGAATAGTTTTCAGGGATTCTAAAGATCTGACTACAGTTGAATGAGGAAATGGAAAAAAAAAAAGGAGAACAAAGTAGGTAACAGCACGCTAACACCCTACAATTATTTTTGGGTACACATGAAGATGTTGTAGATCTCCTGTATCCTGATAGGGGATGAAGTTGTGGTACACAAATTACAACCATAACTTCTTAAAAACACCTTAGTTGTTCTGTTATTAGTAACAGCATTGATCCATTATTAATAGCAGATAATAACCGTTCCCACAATACATGCATTTCTTCACGCGTGCATGCACGATTCACTCAGTCACCCAGTTGGAAAGGGAAGGTCAATTTTAACTATATAAGCAGAAGCAGAGCATGTATAGGCACACCAGTGGCTTCCTGGTATCTGCCCTGAAGATATTTTTATTCATATAAAATAAAGTGTGTGCATACAAACATAAAAAAAATCACCTAGTCTTTGTCTGCATGTAGCAGCCACTGCCCTCTTGCATGCAGTAGCTACGTAACGTACTGTAGATGTTTATTCTCCAAGTGGCTTTGTACAGATGCAGACATCTCTTACAGTTCTGAATTCAGTAGTTCTTGCAGGTTCACTTGGGATACTAGTCTCCAGAGCTTATCAGTCCTATGGATATTTTAACACTTTCTCTGCATGTAGTTACCCAAAAAAGAGCAGGCTAAAAGAGAAAAAAAAAAAATCCATCTCTATCCAAAACTACAGATATCTATAGAACCCTTTCACACAAACTCACAAGAAAAGGGCTTTTATAACAAGAACAGATAAGAAGGGAGAACAAAGCAGATGCAGCATGTCCTTCTAATCCCACTCCATGTTATTCCTGAATATACAAGGCACTGGGGTTTTCAATATTTGCTAAACTACTGCATAGGAATCTCAGAAGCACCTCAGAACGTGCCTTCTCACAGCCGAAGAACCCAAGGATGAGCGTTATGAAATGTTCTTTCCCCAGAGCAAAGACTCAGAGGTGCAAGAAGCCTTACTGTAAAAGTAGGTGCTGTACAGAACTAAGGCTGAATCATACATTGCAAAGACTGGCATATGAGTACAAAAATTGATCTTTAAGTGCGTTAGGAAATAATCCCTGGAATGAGTTACAGCAGTTGTATTGCTAACAATTTCTGTGCTCTTGTGTTGGCAGATTGAATGTCATAGAATCATTATGGTTGGAAGAGACCTCAAAGATCATCAAGTCCAACCATATACTTGATGCCACCAGGCCCGCCAAACCCACTAAACCGTGTCTCAAAGCGCTACATCTAAATGTTTTTTGAACACCTCCAGGGACAGTGACTCCACCACTTCCCTGGGGAGCCCATTCCAATGCTTAACGATTTTAACAGTGAAGAAGTTCTTTCTAATGTCCAGCCTGAACCTCCCCTGGCACAACTTGAGACCGTTTCCTCTAGTCCTATGGCTAGTTACCGGGGAGAAGAGACCAACCCCCACCTTGCTACAACCTCCTTTCAGGTAGTTGTAGAGGGCGATCAGGTCTCCCCTCAGCCTCCTCTTCTCCAGACTAAACCACCCCAGCTCCCTCAGCTGCTCCTCATAAGACTTGTTCTCCAGGCCCTTCACCAGCTGCTTTGCCCTTCTCTGGACTCGCTCTGGCAGCTCAATGTCCTTCTTGTAGTGAGGGGCCCAAAACTGGACACAGTATTTGAGGTGTGGCCTCACCAGCGCAGAGTACAAAGGGATGATCACTTCCCTAGTCCTGCTGGCCACACTGTTTCTGATACAGGCCAGGATGTTGTTGGCCTTCTTGGCCACCTGGGCACACTACCGGCTCATGTTCAGCCGGCTGGCAGGTCTTTCTCTGCCGGGCAGCTCACCAGCCACAAATGTCATCCATACCTTACCCAGGAGAAGCTGATCAAGTACTGTCAATCCAAAGGGATTGCTGTGACAGCATATAGTCCCCTTGGATCCCCTGACAGGCCATGGTAAGATTGCTTTGTGCTTTGCAAGGGAGCTGGCATGGATTATGCTTGAAGCACTAAGTGCTCCATTAATCATTCATCTAGGTACAGATTTCTGTTGCTATCTCTTCTCTGTGTAGGGCTAAGCCAGAGGATCCTTCCCTTCTGGATGACCCCAAGATCAAAGAGATTGCAACCAAGCAACACAAAACCCCAGCACAGGTAGGCAGGTGCAGTACAGTGGGTACTCCTTCCTGTAGCACAGGACAGCTAATGACAATGTAGAGGACAGGCTGGCTCTTCATTCACTGTCACCTGGTGGTCTGCTCTTCTGTGGCATTAGGTAGCAATGCAGGTTTGTTCGCTATGTGGCATGCAATGCATGCTTGGAAGAGCTCTCTGACTATCAACAAGAAACATTTTCTTGACTCATCTTCCAATGCTGTCATGTTTCAGTCTTCCCATCTCAAGTCCTGTTGCAGAGAATGAAACCTTTATAAAAGTCCAGGTGGGAAGGAAAAGAAAAAGAACCGACTGTCCCAAAACTGGATGGGAAAGGAGGCTTTCCATGTCGGCCACCACCACTTCCCTCTTTGCTTTCCAGGAAGCGAACGGGAATGATTTGAAATGCAGCTTTGCAGAAGGAGGTATAGCCTAGGGAAACAGCTGTTGGAACAGGCTCTGCTTCCTCCAGAGAAGGAGAAATGATTGAGTTATCTGTTCTTGCAGGTTCTCCTTCGCTTCCAGATCCAGAGAAATGTGATTGTGATTCCCAAGTCTGTCACACCACAGCGCACTGTGGAGAACTCCAAGGTGAGTGATTGAGTGACCTGGGTGCTGCCCTTCAGGGACGGCATGGCTTCCCCCTGCAGAGCAAGCAGTGACCCTTTCTCACCCTTCCCAGGGCCTCCTTAGGCAAGAGGACTCAGCTTTTCTCTGTTTACCTATGCTCTACTGAGGGCTAAACTTCAGGCTACAGTTGGAGAGCAGGAGTGAACAAAGTTTTTTGGAAACACCATGCTGATAATCTTAGTAGTCACTTTACATGGTGTCTCCTGTTCTGCAGATTACAGATGAATTGGCATATGGTGGTTGACTGGCACACAAGTGCAGTAGCGCACCACAAAAGGCTTATGTAGAGTAAGTACTGTTAAGAAAATAGTCCTGATGTCCATAAACCATGTTGCTCCATTGTTATTTCAATGGTCCTTGAATGAAACTGGTCATCAGGATTTCCAAAGACTTAGCTGGATTAAGTGAAATATGAAGTCTTGTAGATGTTCCTTTGGAATAGGACAGAAAGATGCATCCTTCACAAGTGGCGGATGCAACACTAAGTGCTCGCCAAGCAT